CCTAGAAGTTGCTGGGCTTTGTCTCTGGTTAATTTCTCTTGCCTTCCCTCATGTCAACATTGGCTGTCCTTCTTGGACTACCAGGTGGGTGGCCGAGTGGGTGTCTCCTGAGAGGATCCATAGTAAAATCCCAGTTTGAAATAAGTTTTTTTTTTAAAAAAAAAGTCAAAAATATTTTTAAAAATAACACCACCGGCAGCAGTGGCAAACTGCCATTGCAAGGGTAGGGCAGGCTAGTGCAAGACAAAGCCTCAATTGCAATGGTTTTAAAGGCCCATGTAGCCTCCTCAAATGATGAACACAACCTATAAATGGATTAAAAGTTTTCCTAAGAGGATGCACATACTAACCCAAATATCATGTGTCAACCATGTGACTTCATGCTGATTTCAAAATCCCCAATTCCAGCTACCAATTCATTTTCATAGTATAACCACACTCTCAGCATCAAGTAACAGGAAGCCCCCTCAACCTTGCCATTGATCCTAGCTGATATCAAATCCAACATGATATTAATTTCCCCCTTGTAATACAGGCATCGTTGTCAACCTACAGAGTAGAACATAACAGTTAGGCAGGAAGTCAGGAGATGCAAAATGAGACAAGGAAGGGATGCTGAAATCTTTCCATTGCCATCACACCTCACTGTTTATATAACTTTGAGCTGGTCTTTATTTATCAGAATAATATATAATGTGCAACTTTTTCACCCCATGGAAAATTTTGAGTCTCTAAAAAAAAAGTTTCATAAAATTTATTAGTAATGTATCGAACAATGAATGGATGCCCATTCACTTTAATCTGAAGTTTTAAAGAAGGGCTCCAAGTGATTATAGTAGTAGCAGCAATAACATCAGAGATGCCCCAAATATCTTGGTAAAAGAAGGTTGAAGTCTATTTGCAAGTAACTGAGTTGACAAGCAGAACTGGCTCTTTTTTAACTGCAGAAATTTTTAAGATTCACAGAATGCTTTTCTTTAGGACTCTGCCACTGAATCTGCTGGCACTTAGTAAGTGATTAAAGTAATCAAAGGAAAGTGGAAGTGTGGGATTAGTTCAGTTACAAGGAGAGAATGAGGTGTCTGACAAATATAACAAACTGTTAAGAGCCAAAGCAAAAAAAAATTGGACAACTTTCCTCCTGCTTCTTTGGGATTCTCAAAGTCTACTTACTTGGCGCCACCAAGTGGCAATAACCTGGATCTGCACTTTTATCTTCAGCTGAGATTGCTGACCCAGTTTTAACCACCACCTCAACACCTGCAATAATGCTGTCTGTTCCTAAAATCAGTTCAACGCCATAAAGTAGCTTCAAGAAACAGAAACAGGCTTTATATCTCTTTGGAGATTAGCGAAAGAGACTGAAATAACAAAGTAGGGTTGTGGAGGTGTCTAAAGATAGTTTTTCTCCCCAAAAGAAATCAACTAAAGAGGAGAGATTATGGACACTGGTAACACTGCAAGCTTTTAATTTAACTGTTAGGAATGCAACATTGTTACTTGTAATTATATTAATACAAACTGTAATGGGATATTTTTCCAGCACCAGCTTTACATCTCTTGCCTGGAATATTGTGCTCTTCTATTTTGCATCAATTTGTTTAGACTGCAAACCATTTTGGGACTTGTAAAATGAAAAGCAGTATAAAACCGTTCCTAAATAAGTAACTACTTGCTCTAAATTAAGATTCTGCATGAGTCCCGCTTTTATTTATGAAACTACTAAAATTTCACTGATTTAATAATAATAAAAGAAATCAAGGTGTTCGGGTTTCAAGAAATGTTCAGGGAAAGAGGTTCTACTTACACCGAAGAAAAACAGACACTTTGTCTTGAAGCGCCCTCATGTGGACTTTAAACACCAAGAAGGCACTATTCACAGTCACATCATCATAAACCATGATTCTATAATCTCAGAGAACAAGTCGAGCATCCATCCTCCCAAGAGGTTGCATACCATGGGGTGTTTGAAATTTTCCCACCACTGTGGATCAATTAAAGCTTCATGGTGTTATCCCAAACAAACAAACTGTGGTTAATCTTAAGTGTGTTTCATTTGATGCAGTCAGCTTTGCATCCTAGCTTATAAAAATGGCTTACAGTCCTGGTCAAAAATACTGGCACCCTTGCAATTATGTCAGAAAATGCAACCCTTCTCTCAGAAAATTGTTGCAGTTGCAAATGTTGTGGTACTCACATGTTCATTTCTTTGGTTTGCATTGAAACAACACAAAAAAAAAACAGAGAAGAAAAGTCAAATCTGATACCATACCACAGAGAAACCCCAAAATGCACTGGCCAAAATTACTGGCACCCTCAACTTAATATTTGGTAGCACCCCCTTTAGAAAAAAAATAACTGAAATCAATCGCTTCCTGTAACCATGAATGAGTTTCTTACTCCTCTCTACTGGAATTTTGGACCACTCTTCTTCTGCAAACTGCTCCAGGGCCTTCAGATTTGAAGGATGCCTTCTCCCAACTGCTGTTCTGAGATCTCTCCACAGGTGTTCTGTGGGATTCAGATCTGGACTCACTGCTGGCCAATGCTTTGTAACCATTTCTGAGTGTGTTTTTGAAGTGTGTTTTGGGTCATTGTCCTGCTGGAAGACCCCTAACCTCTGGTGGAGACATAGTTTTCTGACACTGGCCACTTCATTGCGCCCCAAAATTCTTTGGTAATATTCAGATTTCATGGTACCGTTCACACAGTCAAGGCATCCAGTGCCAGAAGCAACAAAGCAACCCCAAAACCTCTTTGAACCTCCACCCTGTTGGACTGTAGGGACTGTGTTCTTTTCCTTGTATACCTCATGTCTTTTTCTGTAAACAGTGCCATGATGTCCTTGACCAAAAAGCTCTCCTTTTGTCTCATCTGTCCACAGTACGTTCTCCCAGAAGGATTGCGGTTTTGTCACATAAGTTTTGGCATACTCCAGTCTTGCTTTTTTATGCCTTTGTGTCAGCAGTGGTGTCCTCCTGGGTCTCCTACCATAGCGCCCCTTTTCATTCAGATGACAACGGATAGTGCGAGCTGACACTGTTGTACCCTATGTTTGCAGATCAGCTTGAATTTGTTGGGAAGTTAATCTGGGTTCTGTATCCACCATTCGAATAACCCTTTGTTGTAATTTTTCGGTAATTTTGCTCTTCCGTCCACATCCAGGGAGGTTAGCTACAGTGCCATGGGCTGTAAACCTCTTGATGATATTGTGCACAGTGGACACAGGAACATTAAGATCTCTGGAGATGGACTTGTAGCCTTGCGCTCCTTAAAGGAGCATTACATGTTTAACAAGCAATTATTTCTTACAATCTAGACAGGGTGCCAATAATTTTGGCCAGTGCATTTTTATGTTTCTGTGTGGGATTGTATCAGATTTGACTTTTCCTCTCTCTTTTTTGTGTTGTTCCAATGCAAACCAAAGAAATGAACATGCGAGTACCAAAACATTTGCAACTGCAACAATTTTCTGAGAGAAGGGTTGTGTTTTCTGTTCAAATTGCAAGGGAGCTAATATTTTTGGCGATGACTGTATGTCAAACAAACTAGTTTCTGCATCTCTTTGAAAACTGTTGAAAGTTTATTTGAACAAGAGCTGTAGGTGAGGTGAGCGAAAATAGCTCCTTATTACAATCATCATCTGAGGTCTGTGAAGTTTCTTAGTCATCCAGGTGAGGTCCTGATATTTTGATAACCAAGATGTATTGATTTGATGATGTACACATTTTGGACTGAGGAGATAGCCAGTTTGAGAGAGGGGTTGTGTGCATCTACTTGTGCATATAGAAAATCCCTCACTCAACAGGGATGGAGGCCTTTGATATAATCTGTCTCCTATTTATCATGCTGGGACCACACTCACCAGAAAGGCCACTGTTAATGACTGTTAAGGACAATGGGTGGAGAAGGAATGCAGAAGTGGGATTTTCACTCACCCTCCCCCCTGTCCTTTGTCCAAGGAGCCTATTCAGACCAAGGGAAAGTGAAACCAACATGGAGTCTCCTAACAACTCTCCTCAGACTGAAGAAGCTACTTGGATGAGTAGCAAAATGTTTCAACCTAATAAAAAAGAAGTCCAGTTTCCATGACTCAACTTCCAGATCATCTAAGATCCTGCTGAATTTCCCACAAGGAAAAGAGGTTTGATTAGCGGGACATTTCAATTATGGAATTCCCTCACAAGGAAAGCCAGACTGGCCCCAGAAATAAGCTTCACTTTTTTTCCTAAGTGGGACTAAAATCTTTTTTTTTTTTTTTGCATGCTTTTTGTCAAGATTGGCAACATGAACCACTCTTCTTGGTTGTCAAAGTTTGGGTTTTCAGGCCTATTGTTTAACTTTGTTTCAGTTCTTTATGTGCCTTAGGGCTATCTTTAGCCGACTCAGCCTTTAATAAAAAAAAAAAACAATTAATGAATGAATGCATGACTGTGAATGTCTCTATGGAGCCACTTAAGTTCCACTCAGAGATTTACAGCAGTTGCAAATGAAGTAGTAGACCAAAATTTCAGCTAGAGTGGCTCCCAACCTCAGGTTCCCAGATGTTTTTGGAATACAGCTCTCAGAAATCCTGGCCAACCCAGCAAGTGATGAGGGCTTCTGAGAGTTTTAGTCCAGGAACATTTGTGGACCCAAGATTGGGAACCACTGAACTAGATGATGCATACATTTCAGATTGGTGAGATAACAATGATTGAATAAGCCCTACATTTGCTAACAGGAGCAAGACCAAGACTCTTAAGGTAACATTGAATAAGCCCTACATTTGCTACCAGGAGCAAGACCAAGACTCTTAAGGTAACCTTTAAAAAAGCTTTGGCTCACAGCCTGAAACTGTTACTGTTGGGGTGTTCACAACTCGCAGACATCCCATCCTATCCCAGCCAGTATGGCCACTGGTCATGCTGGCTAAGCGGTTCTGCGAATTTTGCAGTTTAAATAAATTTTCCAAACTCTGTTTCAGATGCTGAAAAAAAAATGGAGCAGCAGGATCATACCTTGAACCCCTTCCAGGAGGAGGTCAACTCCTTTCCTATAAAAGCCGTACGCCGCCTCATAATCTTCTTCCTCTTCCTTCTTCAAGGCTAGCTTGATCAGTTCCCCTGCTTTGTCTAAGTAATCTCGCCGTCCAAGCCTGGCCTTTAAGCTCCCTGTAAAGAGACCACGGCTTTCTCTCTCGCCATCAGGTTTGCTCCATTCATGGTCCGAAAGGGCAGAGGCCTGTGACGGAAGTTCAGCAGGAAAGCTGAGGCCGAGGGCTCTACTGGGAGAATTCTGGTTAGATGCCATTCCATCATCTAACTCGGCAGGAGAGTCCACATCCACAGTCAAAGAAATCAGGTCACTGTCACTGGAGAAACCTGAAAGGAAACAAGAGAAGGGAGTGAGGAAGAATTTAAGGGCTCACCTAGCCCAATCTTCTCCTTTGAGGTGGTGTCTTTTACCTCAGGATGAGCAACATGCAGACTCTCAGGGGCATTTTTGAAGCACTCTGTCCCTCATACCTCAAAAGAAATTTTGTTTTTTAAATTGCCCAGAAAGCTTCCTTGTCCATTCTGGGGGAGGAATTCTGCCACATTACAAATCCCCCCAGCTGCTCCCTTCCAGCTCTGCAGTTTTACGATGAGGATGATCCCTCGCCTCACAAAAGAAATTTTAATTAAAAAAAAACTTTTGCCACCAGAGGGTACAAGAGGACTTTTTCAGTTTAAAGAACATTTTTTTCTCAGTGAACTCATTTTTAAGTTAACAAAAGCAATCTGTGTTTTTTTAAAAAAGCATTTAAAATTATATATGCCAATTTTGGCTGCCACCCCTCCCCCCAAATGCAACCTTTGAGTTCTCAAATAATATTTAACAATTTCCCCCAGCCTTGCTGTGCTTGCCGATCCTCATCTTACACAATAGATGGTCAACATGTGGCCGATCCACCTGTCTTTACAGGCTTCCAGAGCTTCCTTCTAGAGGTGAAAAAATACACCTATCACACTGAAAAAGGAGAATTACTGTCCTGGAAGCCTCCAATGTGCTTCACTGTTCAACACAATTCACTGCTACAACAGGCAGCCTGAGAGCACCTTATTTTATTTTTTAAAAGTTTAATATTTATTTATTTATTTATTTATTTATATCCCGCCTATCTAGTCCCTCAGGACCACTCTAGGCGGCTTACAACAGACATATAACAATATAATTAAAACAATTTTAAATAAGAGGAAAAACATTAAACAAGATGGGGCAAATGCTAGGAGAGAAGAAAAAGGGAAAATCAGGAATTAGCTGAGGGGAAGGCCTGCCGAAACATCAGTGTTATTAATTGATTTTTGAAAATACCCAGCAAGGGAGCCGCGCGAATGTCAGGGGGAAGGTTATTCCAGAGGCAAGGAGCCACCGCCGAGAAGGCCCTATTTCTTGTCTTTTCTTTCCGGGCCTCCCTCAGCGTTAGGCTCCTCAGCCTCACCTCCTAGTTTTGGTTTCATTGAGGGGGGTGGTCCATAGTAGGGCCCAGGGGTAAAAAATTGACACACACACACAGACACACCAAAATTCTTCTCCCCTTTCTTATTCCTAAAGCAAACTAGCAGCTGTTTTTCAGTATTGATTTAGTACTGTTGCTACCAATTCACTATGACAACTTGTAATTTTTTAGAATTAACCCATGACTTTATTTCTTTATTATTATTTATACATCATGCCCTCTTTTATCATAATCTCCAATATAAGGATGATAATACTGAAATACATTCAGAATCTTTGTAAGGATGACTGAGACAGCATATATAAGATACCTTAAATTCTCTAAAAAAATTAGTGCTTCCCAACTTTGGGTCCTCAGATGCTCTCGGACTACAACTCCCAAAAATCCTAAACAGCACAGCTAGCGGTGAAAGCATCTGGAATTTTTAGTCCAATAACATCTGGGGAGCCAAGGTTGGGAACCATTCTTCTAAACCAGTGGTCCCCAACCTTGGGCCTCCAGATGTTCTTAGACTACAACTCCCAAAAGCCTTCACCACCACCTCTGCTGACCAGGATTTCTGCAAGAACATCTGGAGGCCCAAGGTTGGGGACCACTGTTCTAAACAACTTTATATTATTAAGATGTTTGGATAGTCAATACTGGGGAAACTCCACAATCCACAGATCTTCAAACAAAGAAGATTTCAACAAGCAGCAAATCCAAGAGCAGCTCTTTTATATACCTACCACGAAAAGAAATGCCCTCCCAATTATTTTTTTTCATTACTGTTTGCATTTTCCCTCGTGATGGTTGCCTCAACCTCCCTCTCTACCGAAGCTTCTTCAGGTTCCCATGCCAGGACCACCATGCGAAAGGAGAAGTCAAGGTTTCAGAATCTGAAGTACTTTGGCACCTAAATATAATTTCCACCTGAGTATTTGTCAGTCACAAAACAAGCTCTCAGCGATATGCTCACAGTCAAAAGAAACTCTGCTACATATAGTCCAGTTCAAGGCATCCACTCAACTCAAAAGCAGCAAGTTAAAACACTGAAAAATAAATATACAAGGTCTTCTCAGTTCAATCTTACCTCCATATTCTGACTGGCTAATCATCACATCCTCAAGGACAGCAACATCCTTGCGTGCTTTAAAAAAAGTAGAAGAGAATTTAATGAGTTTTATAAGTAAAAATAAGTAAAACCTGCTAAGAATACAACAATTACGTGCAGGTCAGTATTTTAAGTATCTCCAGTATTACTAAAGAAAAGCAGGATTTGGGACTCTTATGTGCAACATGAATGAAGTCCTGGGTAAGCACGCAAGTATTTATGGATCCGACAGTTACAGCCGAAATGCTAATGCTGCCATCTAGAGGGCATAAAGGTGAGGAGTTACATTTATGAAAAAAGGGGGGAAAGCCATGTTGTGTTTGCATACAATCCAAAAGCAAGGGTGGGCAATACCTTTATTAGGTATCCACTAAATATCCCACAAAAAGTCATTAGATGTTAAGTTCCTCAGAGCTCTGCAACACTCATTTTGGACCTTCTTATAAATAAGAATGACTAGCACCTATACCGTGTTCCCCCGAAAATAAGATAGGGCCTTATATTAATTTTTGCTCCAGAAAACGCAGTAGGGCTTATTTTCAGGGGATGTTTTCTTTTTTTCATGTACAACAATCTACATTTCTTTAAATACAATCATGTCATCTTCTTCTGGTTGCTGTACAGTGGTGGAGGGCAGGGATTCACTTAACTAGGGCTTATTTTTGGGATAGGGCTTATATTACGAGCATCCTGAAAAATCATACTAGGGCTTATTTTCAGGTTAGGTCTTATTCTCGGGGAAACAGGGTATTTGGCCATGTTTATGTTTCTTCTGCACCATTTCTGCACCAGTTCTGTAATGCCCAGCTTGAGGAAGTGTCCTGCAAAACTCAAAATCTAGCTACTGTTTGTGAGATCTTAGTGGTCTAATAAAGGTATCACCCACCCTTATTTCCAGATGAGGTATATGTATGAATTTCTGGAGCCTCCCGGCTTTCTACTCTGTCACCTGGGCAGTGGACAAGCTCACAAAAGACAACAAGGCAGAAGCCAACCTTCAGAACTGGAGATGGATAAGCTGTCTGTCAAGGAATCCAGCAATGGTTCTGCAGGACCAATCAATTCAGACCCATCATGCACCTCTCCATCCTTAAGAAACAGAAAGACATTAACACAACTTTAGCAGGTATTTGTTGTGAATCAGTGCATTTCCAGTTCCCCTGGGGAAAGCTAGAACAAAAGGAACCAAACCATAAAGACATAGCATGTGATCTCTGATTCTACACTCCAAGACTCTCTATTCTTCCAGAATACGACTAATATCATAATGCAAATGCTGTCATCCTGCTAACTGCAGCTACACTGGTGAGGACTTGTGTCCAGCAAAGAGATGGAATGTATAATGAATATCTCAAGCCATGACACTCAACTGCAACCCAAAATGGAACATATTGCACTTCTCTATAAGCAATATTCTAAACTGATATTTATCTTTTGCAGAATTTTATTCTAGAAACGTTTACTTTAAAACAGTTGTATATTCTTAAACTCCACTTCCATAAAATGTGACATCTAGTCCACATGCATGAGACCTTTCTTTGCAAGCAGCACTGGTGTATTACCACTGATATTGCTGCAGAAATAGTCTGTCAGAGGTCCCCAACCCCTGGTCCACAGCCCGGTGCCGGTCCATGGCCTGAGCTGGACTGGGCTGCAGACCTCCCAACCCCAAAGCCCATTTGTGCCTGCACCGGCGCTCCAGCATGCTCCATGCAAGCACCGTGCCACTGTTTGTGCATGCGCATGAGCGTGAGCACACCCAGGCAAACACTGTGCCGCAGTTTGCACATGGGCACGGGTGTGCGCGTGCTAGTGCGCATGAGCATGGGGGGTGCCTCGCCTTCTCCAGCCCCAAAAAGGTTGGGGACCGCTGGTCTATGTGATATGCATGTGCCAGCATCTCCTGCCCCAATAAAGAGCATGGAAGAAAACAATGTTTTATTAGTGTCCAAATCAATTTCATGTCTCATTGTTCCGCTCCTGTTCTGCAGCAGCAGTAAAATGCAACATAAGGGAATAGAAGACCTTTTTAAGGATTCTTGCCTCCCACCAGCCAGGAAAAATTGGGAAGGAGATCAGAACAAAAGCCAGAAAAAGGAAGCAGAACTCTGGACACCAGAATCACAGACAGAGATACAGATAGTGACAGAGATGGAGGGGGTCATCTTATCAGTACCTCTATGCAAGCCTGCTTGGGTACCTCCCTGTATGTCACCTGGAGCTCAATATGGGGAAAAAGTAGACATGGAGAAGCATGCAATGCAACCCTAACAATGGGTTTGATGCAGAGGTTGAAAAACTTAACTTTCTTGTCTGCAGTTCCTATAATCCCCCAGGAAACTGTGAAAGCTGTGCTCTTAAGAAAAATAACTTTTCCAAGATCTAAATGGAACCCTTGGAGTCCCTTGAGAGCCAGCTCAATATGCACTCTTAAGATGGAAGATCGCAGGTTAGCGGTGATTTGTCTGCAGCTAGACTACCAGGCCCCCTCTCTCTTTAGGCTTGAAAGTGATACAGTACATTTGTAGTAGGATGGGCAGATGTACAAACAGAAACAATGCTTTCCTATGTAAAGTAAGCTGTTACTCTAAGGTGTAATATCCACACCCAGCTTTAATTATCCACGACCGGTCATGCTGCTCTTGGCACATTGTTCTCTTCTTGTAACTCCTTCCATTTACTTACATAGCAAGGAGAAGGACTTGTACTATTAATAGCATATATATCACCTCAATAATTTAACATAACATCACACTGTCCCAGGCAGCTGACACATCTCAGTGGACTGGGAGCATCCTGCTGCAGAACCAAGAGTGCATCCCAAGGAGATGGGTCAGATGTGACCCCCTGGAGCACTGGTAGCTGATGATGTTACATGCCCAGCCAGTTGTGGAGCCTTCAGCAACCTTGAGCATGGTTCCAGAGAGCCATCAGATGGACATGGCATTATTATTATTATTATTATTTATTTATTTAATTTATATCCCGCCTATCTAGTCACGGTGGACTACTCTAGGCGGCCAACAGCAGAGATAAAATACAATAAAATAAAACAACATAATTACCACAACAATTAAAAGTAGGGAAACAATAAAGGAGAGAAGAAAATCAAAAGCTATCTGGTGAGAAGGCCTGCCGAAACATCCAAGTCTTTAATAAGTTCTTAAAGGTGCCCAGCAAGGGAGCTCCGCGAATACCAGGAGCTAAGTTATTCCCAAGGCGAGGAGCCACCGCCGAGAAGGCCCGATTTCTTGTCTTTTCCTTCCGGGCCTCCCTCGGCGTTAGGCTCCTCAGCCTCACCTCCTGGCTTGCACCAGTGACACGGGTACATCTAGGTGGAAGTAGGCGTTCCACCAGGTATCGAGGCCCTAAACCGTTTAGGGCTTTGTACGTAAGCATCAACACTTTGAAGTCAATGCGGAAGCGGATGGGCAGCCAATGCAATGCGGCCAGAGTGGGGGAAATATGCTGGTATTTTTTCACTCCACTGAGTAGTCTAGCCCCCACATCCAGGTAGGGCCGCAGCTGGGCTATCCGCCTGAGGTGAAAAAAGGCGGTGCGGACCACCGACGCCACCTGTGACTCCATGGAGAGCACCGGGTCCAGATGGATCCCCAAGCTGCGTACCCCATCCTTTGCAGGGAGAGTCACCCCCCCGAAAGAGAGGGAGTTTCCCAGAGCCCCGACTGTGGGAGGGCCCACCCTCAGTACTTCCGTCTTGTCCGGGTTCAGCCTAAGCCCGTTCTCCTGCATCCATTCCAGTATAGTCCCCAGGAAGCACTGAAGGCACAGAATGGCTTCTCCTGCGGTTGGCGAAAAGGAGATGTAGAGCTGCGTGTCGTCCGCATACTGGTGACACGAAGCACCACACCCCCTGATGACCCCACCCAGCGGCCTCATATAGATGTTAAATAGCATTGGGGAGATAATCGACCCCTGTGGAACCCCACAATTGAGGCTCCACGGGGCCGAGACTCTCTCCCCAAGCTGAACTCTCTGGGGGTGGTCCTCCAAGAAGGAATGGAGCCAGGACAGTGCCAGGCCACCTATTCCCAACTCGGAGAGCCTCCCCAGGAGGATACCGTGGTCAATGGTATCAAAGGCCGCTGAGATGTTGAGGAGGACCAACAGGGACACTTTGCCCCTATCGGCCTCCCTCAATAGGTCATCACATAGGGCGACCAAAGCCGTTTCTGTGCCGTGGCGCGGCCTGAAGCCCGACTGGAATGGATCCAGGGCATCTGTTTCATCCAGGAGCGCCTGAAGCTGGTCGGCCACCACCCTCTCGACTACCTTGCTAAGGAAAGAAACATTGGCGACGGGCCTATAGTTGCCAATTTCGTCCGCCGCCAAACTAGGTTTCTTCCTGATGGGCCTAATGAGTGTGTCCTTCAGGGCAGATGGAAATCTGCCCTCAAGGAGAGACCCATTTATTATAGCTGTGGCCCACTCCGTTGTTAGCGGCCTGTTTAGCGACAATTCCGGATAGCAACGTTAATCCTGGTACGGATTAATGTCGCTATGCGGGGCACCACTGTATTGCAAATCTAGATCTAGTGAGAGGAGTGCATGGCAGGCTTTTCTAATTCACCTCCCTGGGAGGCTAATCATTCGCAACTGCATCTGTGGATGGGGAATTCAAAGATGGCCTGGGTGGCTTAAGAGCCTTGAGTATTTCCTAATCATTCATAGTTAACAACGTAGCACTACTAAGAACAAGGACTTCACTCCTGTTGCCAAGTGGGATCATTTAAGGGAAATAGATTGGCTCAGAAGTATTAACCTTAAAGAAATCTTCAAGCTGTTTGCTGTTAAAGAGCGCCGGGATGTTGGCAGAAAACTGAAGCAAATCTTCTGCGCACTGTCTTCTCTCTTCAATCACACTCTCTTCAAATCGCCCTGAAACATGAAAAGATCAACAGTCTGAGAAATAATTATGCCTTTTTATCTCCATCTTCTTGTATTTAAAAAAAACTACCAAGAAGAAAAGACATCCGTCTACTAAGTAGATCGCTTCGGGAGACAGCGGCAAGCTTCCCATTCCCCGTTCTCAAATGTCCCCAGAATCTTGTGTTCTGCGGTCGCTCAAGTGATACAATCTGGCAGCCACTCATGGAATCCAAGGCTCTGTCCTTTTTTTTTTTAAGGATGGGTGAAGCCATGCTCTTGTTTAGCCAACAGACAGTAACATATGTCCATCAAATCCCAGAAATTAAATAAGGAAAGGCTTGTCATCGGCAAATATCTATGCTGAACACAGCTACAAGCTTGATCCTACATAGAACACAACATCAGCTATTCAGTTAATTCAAAACAGAGCCTTAGATCTGTGCTTTGCATGGCATAAACTGCAGCAATACCCACACATGTTGCTTTGTATCCTTCTGGAGCCCTTCATCTTCTCTATTACTAAAATGTGGCCCACAAAGACTATTTCCAAATTGGAATTTGGCTCCTGGGCCAAGAAAGGGATCCCCCACCCCACCCCACCGCAGAGAAACTTCAGTTTAACATCCATAAGTGTAAAACCTTCCAAGCAAAACCATCTCAACTGGGAAGTAAGACAACAGGGCCCAGTTGTTGTAACTGTTCAATCCATTTCAACGAGGCTCAAATCCTCAAACCTATGGAGACGATTACACTAAATTAGGGGCAGGCAACTGCCCCTCACATGCTCCCCACATGCTCACCACTAGGTTTCAGATTCTGGGCCCAAAAAAGGCTAAATGTGCCCTATGGAGTCATGATTGCTAGCCATTTTTCCCCATCCCTGATCTCATTTAGTGACCACTTTCAGTTCTGAACAAAAAAACAGTTGTTGTTATTGTGCTGTCGAGATGCATCTGACTTATGGTGTCCCTTATGGGGTTTTCAAGGTATGTGAGATATTTCAGGAGCGGTTTTACTGTTTTCCCCTCTCCCCACCACCTGTGAGTTTCCATGGCCAAACAGGGATTTCAATCCAGATCTCCTGACTCCTAGTCTCCATTACACCACACTAGTTCTCAGCAAGATCTCCCTGGGCCTTAAACGTTTTCCCCTCTCCCCACCACCCGTGAGTTTCCATGGCCAAACAGCGATTTCAATCCAGATCTCCTGACTCCTAATCTCCATTACACCACACTGGTTCTCAGCAAGATCTCCCTGGGCCTTAAAACAGACAAGGGAAGGGATGGTCAAAGGATCAGCCAGGCCCCATCAAGTCTCACTACCAATTAGACTTTATAGGGGGACTCACAGAGAGAGAGAGAGACAGAGAGAGAGAGAGAGAGAGAGAGAGATTCCTGAGCTTCCCAGCATGCCCCAGCACCCTCCCAACCACCACATGGAGTCACCAGGCTAGGAGAAGCGGGCCACTCAGACTGCCATCCTCGGACCCGCAGGCCACTGCACCAACAATAACAGGGGCTTGGTAAGCCCAAGACTCACCTTTCTCAAGCCACTTCCTGGAGACGAATACCATCATAGTGTTTATTAAACTATACTTGGCAGAACACCTGCTCCCACCAAGATATACCCGGACCACCCGCGCGAGCCAGGAGGTGAGGCTGAGGAGCCTAACGCCGAGGGAGGTTCGGAGGGAAAAGACTTGAAACCGGGCCTTCTCGGCGGTGGCTCCTCACCTCTGGAACAAAGTCCCTCCTGAGATTTTTGCGGCCCCTACGCTGGGTACATTTAAAATTCAATTAAAAACATGGCTTTACATCCAGGCCTTCCCCCCCCCCCTTGTCAGCATTTAACTTCCTTTCTTTTTGCTATCTATCATTTATTATTTTGGAATGTTTTTGTTAATGATGACGGATTTATATTATTTTAATTATATATATGTTTGTTGTTAGCTGCCCAGAGTGGTAGAATATACCAGATGGCCGGGATATAAATCAAATCAAATCAATCAATCAATCAATCAATCAATCAATCAATCAATCAATCAATCAATCAATCAATCAATCAATCAATATGTATTTATTTTATTTAAATATTTACTTATTTATTGGAAAAGAAATTGTGTTTAACCAAAACCGTGCTGCTCGGACTTGTGCAATTCAAAGAGGAAGTGTATTTTGGAGCATACGTTACTTCCCTCTAGCATTCTAGCCAGTCAGCCATGACCTCTTTCGAGACACAGGGTTCCCCTGCCACCCTCCTTTTCTTTTCTTATATTTGTCCCTATTCTGCCCTCCTACCCATACGGTCATTCATTTTTTCAAGCTCATACAGCATCCTCAATTCTTACTTGGCTGCTTTCTGCAAGTTTTCCCCAGTACTCCCCACCACTACCATGGACATTCATACTTCTGAAAAACTGCAGTTCCCTTGGGCCAGGTGATATCTCCTTTTTGGGTATGGGTGGTGCTACCTTGGCTTCATAAGCAACAGTACTTGGAGCTATAGTTTGGGCCCCTTGACCCACCAGATGGTTTGGGCTTCCATTTCCAGAAGTCCCAACTGGCACGCTGTTACAGTGATGCCTTGTAAGTCGAATGCTTCAAGCAACGAAAAACTCACAAGACGAAACGTTTTGCACTTTTTTTGGTGACTCGCAAGATGAATTTTTCTATAGCCGCGCTTCGCAAGATGAATTTTTTTTCCTTTTGGGGGGATTGGGTTTGTTTTAGATTGCACAACCGTTAGTACTGCGCATCACAAGATGAAAATTTTGCAATACGACACGACTCGTGGAACAAATTAATTTCGTCTTGCGAGGCATCACTGTATAGGCAGGGGTTGTAAGAATGACAAAATGAATACATATGTTATTAGAGGTTGAGATAATCTGGACAAGAAGATTGCAGAAAGTTTGTATTGTGAAAATGTATGTTAAGGTTATAGCCTGTGTGTGTGAGAGAAAGACATGGTTAAGTCATTACTTTCTAAGCAATAATTTAAATTGTGATTCAGATCAAATACAGCCTGGTGCTGATCATAAGAAGAAAGCAGTTTGCATGTACATAAGTTTACAGCAGACTTTATAAGAAGCTATGGGATCAGGACCATACCTCACTCTTATTGTTGATTTTTCCTGTCAAACACAGCATACTATGACTTCTAATGGCTTAAGAAAATAATAATACCCAAGTACCATGTCTGAAACCATACAGATTCTTCCAATGAGGTTTTGAGTTAGAAATGTGGTTAAAAGACATAGTTATGGGGGGGGGGAGGGGTAGACTAAAGTACAGCCACAATCAGCCACAGACTTTTTCGTTGATACTTTCCCCTCCTCCCATCCCACATGTAAATTGTCCTCTCCCAACCATTTTCGGAATTAAACACCACTAGCATTACATCTATACTGCAGTTTCACTCACCACTGTTATTTGACCCATAGTTACTGTCATTTGCAAACAATCTTATAACCACAGCTGGAAATGGGAGTTTGGAGCTAACCATGGTTAGTGAAGACACACATGTAATGAACGAACATACTCAAACTATGGGCCTGCAAGCAATCCTGCAATTTTCCTGACATCGTGGCCATACTGTGTTTCCCCGAAAATAAGATAGGGCCTTATATTAATTTTTGCTCCAAAAAACGCATTAGGGCTTATTTTCAGGGGATGTTTTATTTTGCAGTCATGTCATCATCTTCTGATTGCTGCACAATGCTGCACAATGGTGGAGGGCAGGGTTTCACTTAACTAGGGCTTGTTTTTTGGGTAGGGCTTATATTACGAGCATCCTGAAAAACCATACTAGGGCTTTTTTTCAGATTAGGTCTTATTTTCGGGGAAACAGGGTACATTTAGGAAATTAAAAAAGAAGACATCAAATTATTCCTATACTGAACGTCCAGGAGTGAGCGTAGATTTGTAGATCTTTTAATGTATGGTTTATGACTGTAAGCATCTACAGTAATCATTAAATGTTAGTACATGTTTCAAACAGGGGGAGGCTTAATGGGGGGGTTCAACATCAATTATTCAATTTTATGCCTGAACATAATACTAAAAAAACACATACAGAAACGTGTGCACACACACACACAAACACACACACACACACACACAAACACACACACACACACACACACACACACAGAGAGAATCTTACTGCAGTTACTGAGGATTTTTTAAATCAAAGCCAAAGTTCTGTTAACATAGTACAGAACTCTGAATATTCATAGATTTGTTCATCCATCAGCTACACTCACATATCTTTAACAATTAAAAAATGCTTACCAAATACTATTGCTTTAGCAAAAGGAGGAAACAATTCTGTATGTCTGAATAAGTGTTTATGAATCTGCCAGAGTTCTTTGTGCAATTTCTTAAAGTCACTGTATCTCTTCCAAACGACTATCTGAAGCAAAAACAAAACAGAAAACAAACACACCCATGAGGCAATTATGACCGCTGATTGAGCATTTACTAAGTGTGGCAGAAATCAACACAGTAGCTTAGTGGGAGAAACTTTGATGTCACATAAAAATCTTTAGCTAAAGCAATAAAATCTAGCCTGACTTTTGCAGTTGACAGCTTCCTTGTGCACCGAATGTTCCCTGAAAGGGAACAATTAACAATTAAGCTGGATAACAATTAAGCTGGGCAAAACTTACTTGGGAACCAGCCCTAGGAAAATTTTACTCTGAGGTGCAATGGAACAAAATACGGTCCTCCATTCCATTTGAATCAATTTCTGTTGAATTCACAGAACTAAGACTTAAACTAGCACCTTGGTGGAATCTAGGCCAAATGAAAATGTCAAAACACAAAATTATCATATTCCTCCCCTGCAGGAGATATGGCAAATACAGGGAATCAGTTCATTGCATGTGGCTAGAATGTCTCAAGGTGAACAAATGCTAGCAAGACACTGTATACTTAATTTGATTTAATGTATAATAGGCCAAAAAAATTGAATATGACACTGACTTCACATTATTCTCTTTATTCATTGGCACAAATAAAAATTTATTGCATAAACATTTGATTTCATTGTTAGCAGTAGCTACAAAGGCCACTGCACAAGATGGGAAGATTTCAATGTACATGTGGATATAGATACTACGACAGTTATGGCGAACCTATGGCACACGTGCCACAGCTGGCACACAGAGCCCTCTCTGTGGGCACATGAGCCATAAGTCACCATAGAGAAATACTTACCTGTCCTCCAAACCTTGATTTTGGCACTCCCCTCTGCTGGTGCAATGGTCCAGCAGAGGGGTGCAATGGTGATCATTCCCAGTCTAACCCAGTGGGGGATTGGAGGACCAGTAAGTATTTCTTTGTTAATACTGCTCATAGGAAAAAAAACAACAGCAAGCATTTAACCCTTGCAGTGTAGGAGCAGTTGTTTTTTATAAACTGAAAGCTCAGCATTCAGGTTTTAATTGCAATATTGGCACTTTGAAATAAGTAAGCTGATTTTGTGTTGCAGTTTGGGCACTCGGGCTCAAAAAGGCTCACCATCATTGTACTACGGGTATCTGCGACTTTAGAGAAATTAGTAAAGAAAAATGAGAAAAAGATCTTTGTGTAGAGATGATTTCTGTAAGACATGATGCCCTTTTATATATGTTATGACTTCTTTAGAACAGATGCCTGGATTACAAGGAAAATATCAAAAGTTTCGGAAATACGCTTTATAGAACAATGCTACAAAAATCTTGTTAGAGATAAAAGCAAATCATGAAACTGAACCCAGTTTAATAATATCTGTTCATTTCTTTTATTTTTGATTTTAAAATATTCTCTCTCATGCATTTCTCTCTATTTTGTATTTCATGCTATGTTTCATGTGATGCTGTACAATTCATAAAATATAGAAACTGAAGATAAATCCATTAAGCAGCAGTAACTGGCTAGTACAGCACATCAACTTCTTAAAGCATTATTTTTGCTGATGGATGGATATGTAATGGAGGGGGAAGGCTGCTAACATTCAAGTGTACACAAACTTTAAAATGGTTTAGGTAAGACCGCAGAAAAATTAATCTGCCACAGCGGGTTTTATGCTAACTGCTATTTTTTTCCAGGTAAGCAGATTCTTGCTTACAAAATGATGGGAGTCATAGCCTGCTTTCAGCCCGATTGTTACCCAGTTCTATGGAAGATTTCTGGAATATCGTGTTTTTGTCTCTGCTCTCTGGCAACTTGCGTGTAGATTTGTGTAAATCATACTGCCTGATTCAGGAGGTGCACTAGATCTAGACTGGGAAAGTCATCATCCTCTAAATGTGAATGAACTATGACTCTCACCACTGATCTGTCCGGCTGGGGAAGATGAGAAGTGGAGGCGAACAGAGACAAAGGAAGGATATGCTTCTCTAGCCCAGCAGCAGATAACTGAGTCCTCACACTGTGAACTACCTTTTTGTGTAAAGGTTTAATTTTAGACCTTGGAAGTTTAATAATATCTGCTGAAGTCTACAAAAAGGATCTTTTGTAGAACACTATAAAAATGACTCTAACAGTGCATAAAATTGATGCAGATTAATCATATCTCTGCTGGATAAATTCCAATGTGCATCACCACTTTCTCGAGACGTTCCAAGCTTGGAAAAATTCCCTTTTTTAGACAGCAAGTCCCAATATTTTCCAGCAAGCTTGACCCTTGGGAGTTGCTGTCCCTGAGAAATAACTTTTCTAAACGCTCTGTTTACCTCCTTTGGGTTTCCTTTTGGAGGAATGGTTGAGACCTGGGGAATCCTGCGATATTTGAATTTATACATAGATATTACAGCATAGCTGGAGGCAAATAACTTGAGCATTCCTAGCAAGGCAGCAGATCCATTCCTGTTATATCAATTCCCCAGAAAGAGAGCTGCAGTATCCTAAAATGCTTTGGCCATCACCTAATCCTGTCTTGTCCCCCTTCCCCAGACACCTTTGTAGCCATCTGAGAAAATGCAAAAGGATTTATAGGGGAGGAGAGGAAGTGGGCATGCACATTCCAGCTAACAGCTAGAAGCCCTCTTCAGATCTCCACATTAATTACAGAGCCCATACATAAAAGTATATTTTGGGTATGGTTCCCATGGGTCCACATATTCCCCCCAACTCACACACTTCAATCTCCTCCCATTAGCTGAGCAGGTAAAATGTTTTCATAGCCCCTCCGTACATTGCAGGGCTCCAACTGATGGTTTCCTACCAAGAAAACAAAAAAGATCCATGTTTTGCTATTTACCTGTAATTCCCCTAACAAAACATGTGGTTGGCGGGGTTTGGTTACTAACCATTGTATTGATCGATAATACAATATTCCAAAGCAGAAAGATGCGCCCAGAGTAATTCCAGCTTTCTTGTTGAAAAGGAAATCAAAGCAGATACTGTACTATGATTTTAAAGCACTTTAAATTTTTTACATTTTTTTATGCTACTATAGATAACTTCAGCCACAGTTTCACCAAAACTGCACCATTTGCTCTCTGGCTACCACCACCAATGCACACATGCATGTGCATCCTAATTTTCGTAGTTTTGAATAACAGATATTCCATATGGACAAACAGCAGATTATTTTCCAGCAGATGTCACAAACATTTCATTTGGCACCCTCCATCTGGGCCAAAGTGTGTTTTTGTGTACAGACTCTGGTTTCCCAAAGTACAGTCATAGCCAAAAATATTGACTCCCTTGCAATTCTAACAGAAAATGCAACCCTTCTCTCAGAAAATTGTTGCAGTTGCAAATGTTTTGGTACTCACATGTTCGTTTCTTTGGTTGCATTGGAACAACACCAAAAAAAAAATCAGAGAGGAAAAGTTAAATCTGAATAATCCCACACAGAAACATAAAAATGCACTGGCCAAAATTATTGGCACCCTGTATAGATTGTAACCACCACCAATGCACACATGCATGTGCATCCTAATTTTCGTAGTTTTGAATAACAGATATTCCATATGGACAAACAGCAGATTATTTTCCAGCAGATGTCACAAACATTTCATTTGGCACCCTCCATCTGGGCCAAAGTGTGTTTTTATGTACAGACTCTGGTTTCCCACAGTACAGTCATAGCCAAAAATATTGGCTCCCTTGCAATTCTAACAGAAAATGCAACCCTTCTCTGAGAAAATTGTTCGTTTCTTTGGTTTGTGTTGGAACAACACAAAAAAACAGAAGAAAAGTCAAATCTGATACAATCCCACAAAGAAACCCAAAAATGCACTGGCCAAAATTATT